ATATCAGAACTGCATATTTTGAGATTTTGAGAATTAAATGGTCACAGCTACCATGGAATGGTCTTATGCGCTATTTGAAATATTTGATATTTGAAATTTACTGGGAGGACCGGTAAATTTGTTATTATTCATTTTCTCGAAAGCAGAAGTGTTTTACGGTCTAAATTTTCTAGTGCGTATATTACATTCACAGGAGCATCCAAATAAATCAAAATTGTAAAGAATTACTATCCATCCAATTTTCAAAATTTCCCAAAACTTTACATTACCTTTATAAACGTTAAGTTTGTGAAATCTCAAAGTTATAAACAACTAGGTACAAAAGAGATAGGAGGCTGCAAACTTGCGATTGGTTTGGATCAATCGAGACTCTTCGTAAGACAGGGTCCTGGATTTCTCGAAGGTATACTCTGAACACAAATATGGGAATCTTTAACCAGGCACTTGTCTGATGGAGGTCAACTCATGAACAGATCAATCTGTGGAGAGGGGTAAGATGTGTTCTCCCTCTTTGGTTGTGATTGGCCATTTGCCCATTTCAATAGCCAATTTCTGAAAAATCTGGATTCTCTCCATGCATCACAAATCAATATATCTTTCAAGCTTTCAAGCATACTGGGTAGTGTACAGTATGTTCAACTCCACCACTATCAGGTGTATTCATACAAATGTATTGAAAGAAAACATGGATGCAAAAGGTGTAGTTTGGAACATGCTAGAATTAACAGAAATTAATTTAGGAAAATCAAAACTGAATGATGGTTCACAGCAGAGGGAGATATACATTTAGATAGAGAAAAGGAGTGAAAGAAAGAGAGAGAGATAAAGGGAGAGAGAGAGAGAGAGAGAGAGAGAGAGAAGGAGAGCATTCATTCAAAGTTCCCCAGGCCTTCCTAATGATGCATGGCCAATCTCACACCAAAACAAAGCCACAGTCAAGTTTCATTTTCATTTTCCTTGTTATGTTTGCTTCTATTATTAGCAAAAAAAGCAATATCGCTTGTCAAAATTTGTAGATAGTTGTCATCAAGGTTTCGTTAGTAACTTTGAAAAGTAGGCAAGTGTGTAACCTTGACTACTGTTTGATCAACTGACAGAACAAATATTAAAACGTTCCAGTCTGTTTCATCTGAATTATTACGCAAGCGGACGAGTCTTTCCATAAAATTACCACAGTTGCATTGCACCTGTTTTATCAACAATATACCCTTGTAAGTTGTAGGGGCCTACATTAATACATTCCTAGAAAATAATGTTGATGAACTAAGTGTGACTACAAATACAAATTGATCAAAAACATAATTCATACAGAGAAATGAAAGTATTTTCCAAGTGAAGACACTGTCTCGGTCATGTACCCTAGAATATTTTGGAAGGGAATTCCCCAATTCCTTGGAAGTCCTGGTCCAGTGAGATATTTCACAATTACTCCTGCCTTGAGACGGTGTTATTCTTGGTACATGTATGTCTCGTGGGATGATACATGTACCATTATGAGATGTTGATTCAGTCTAAAAGAAATGTTGACCAATGTAAAGAATAGAAGGGGATTCCCATTTATTCTTGTGACAATTTCTTTTTTTTGGTTTAGTCTCTGGTGTGGTTTGTTCCTTTATTCACAAGGTTGAATATCTTGGCATCCTTCCCATTTGTTTCACTGTAAATATTGAGTCAATCACAGAGGTTTGTGGGACAGACACTTACAATGTAGGAAGTGTTATCTTTTAGTTCAAAACTTTTAATATACATATACCACTTGATTTTAAAGATGACACATTTCGTCGCTGATTTTAAAGATGACACATTTCGTCGCTGTTTTCACGAAGTGACGGTAGTGAAAAAAAAAATTGCATTCACTTTGCGTTACGATTTTCCTCACTACCGTCACTTTGTGAAAACAAGGACAATTTATAGTCTACAGCATGACATATTCATGGTGATCACCAGAAGTCATTTCCATCTCTATCAAAGAATATATGTACCTGTAGTATTAACAATCATACCTCATCCATCCTTCTTCTTCTTTTCTATCACACATCAAAACAGCAGCCGACTGAGAAGATCAATTCACAACCTTCTGTTGGGCACATGACAATATTTAGATTGCAAAAAGAAGCCCAAAAAAAGCCAACAAAAGAAAGAAAATGCTTCCTTTTCATCCAAATTATGGGGGGGGGGGCATCGTAAATTAATCAGGTCAGATGTAAATAATAATCAAATCAGGTCAGCTGTGAATAATAATCCAATACAATATATGCACTGTATGAAAGGATGACATATATTTTAGATAAAAGGACAGGCAGTACTTCATATGAGTGATATAATAAAGACATGTAATGTATGTATAAATGGAGTATAATTTTCACTGCTGGAGAAAATAACCTTGATTATCAATACCTAAACATGAGAGCAGGTATATTCTATGTCCACTTTATACCTTTATATCAATATATCCCACTAGTGTGATTGCACCATAAGATGTGATATATAGCTTTGCCCTTGATATTTTAGCTCACAATCACTCATTAGTACTCATAAATCTTTGTCATCAAAAGTTGTTTAATAGTGTGCAGACAAAGATAAGAGACACTGATAAACCTTCATTCAGACAACAAAAACTATGTTTTGTGTGATACAGCTCTCCTGGGAGCAGTGGTACACAAAGGTTTGGAGATCACTTTGAAAGAGACATCTACAGTATACAGAATCAAGATTATCATATTGTGTGAACATTGTTCAATAAGGAAACTGTATACAATAAGCACTATTCTGTTATTGTTAAACAACTTTCAAGTCGTTTATTTTTAAGTGACTATGCGTAGCTCATGACTTTGTATTCATCCTGTCACTATGCAATTACCAAAGGCATCTCTATGTAAAATGTTCCATTATACCAATTTCCTCTTGTGTGAAAATACCGACAGATAGTGAGATACCGATACATGTACAGGACAAATGATATGAGATAGATGGAAGGGTGTGAAAGAGCCTAATGCAGAACATCACAGATGGGCAACAGAAGGTGTGGACAGCTTGAAGAGATGGGGGAGATAAGTCATGTGGATGTACACGAATGGGAAGTGAAGGGGGCGGGCTGAATTCCTTCATTCCTACGACTACCAGTATAGTGAAAATTGTTGTCAATAGACAGGAAATAATTTTTAGAAAAAGCAATCATCTTTTCAGTTCCTGAACTGAATGCATATATTCATGATGAGAGAGAACGATGAGGAAAGAATGTAACTTGTAAGAAAGACACAATAAGAGAGAGAGAGAGAGAGAGAGAGAGAGAGAGAGAGAGAGAGAGAAAGAAAGAAAGTGAAAAGGATATGTGAAGAAAAGAGGATGGGAGAAGAAAGAGCATACAAAATGAGAAAATTGAAATAGAGAGTTACAGAAGGGGAGCAGAGAAAAAGAGAGAGAAAGAGTTTGGTTGGCAGGAGAGATAGAGAGAAAGGAGGGAGTGCATACCGGTATTGTCCGGTAACAAAGAGCAAGAAATAACCAACAAGATATCTCTTTGATACTGTACAATGTATGTCTTTGATAGAACAACAGAAAGTAAAAGAAATGAGGTATAGAAAGAAAGTAGAGAGAAAGTAGAAAGACAGAGAGAGAGACAAAGAGACAGAGAGACAGAGAGAGACAAAGAGACAGAGAGACAGAGAGAGACAGAAAGAGAGAGAGAGAGACAGAAAGAGAGAGAGAGAGAGAGAGAGAGAGAGAGAGAGAGAGAGGGGGGGGATGCGTGACAGAGAGGGAGAGAGAGATAGGGGGCATGAGCTTGCATATGATAGTACAATAGACACTGTCCAGTATAATCTCATCTTCATTACCACCATAGCATTCCGATGCTATCCATTATGCATTACCCTATCAACACCTTGATAGCGGATCTCATTACAAGCAAGCCTGTGTGCTACTGTGCACCTTCATACAAAACACTTCACTCAGAGGTCAATTCAGGCTAGGCCAAGAGGACAAATGTTCTCCGGACAAGACAGATGTGTACATCCTACCATAGGAAATTCATGTGTAAAGAAACATTAAAGCTAATCTTGAGCTCTGGTATGGGAATCGTATTATGAGAGAAAATTGCTATGAAAAAAAATTATTCTTGATTGTTTATCCTGCAGTAGATTGGTTGTTTGAACCAGTGAAAGCAAGATGAATTAGCCCACAACCCTTTTCGCTGTACAGTTCCTTCCAACATTTCCACAATAGTAAAATAGGGGCTTAAAGCTGGACTAAGTAACACATATTCTTAATGGGGAGCTAGAATTTCATGTCTATAAATTTAGTGTGACGACACCCCCCCCCCCCCTTTTTTCTCCATATGTTTTCAGTGCCATTAATCAGGGAAGTCTCACATTTCTCTGCTTTTAAAATGTAAATTTACACATTACCATGGCAATTTCGTCTTCTTCAAATGCATTTTCACACCAAGATATCTCTTGAGGGGTCCTCAGATGATACAAAGAGCATTTATCTGAGGGTGAGGCTTCTCTCACAGTCACACTCCTTAGGGTGTCTTTCTAGATCATCTTTCTTGATTACCAACGAAGAAAATATTCTCAAATGGAAAATGTGCACTCTACCATGGTCAAGCTGCTTCGTGACTCCCAGTCTTCCTTCCACACATCTTACTGCCTTCCTCTGTACATGTCTCTATCACTGGATCTCTCCCATCCACTTCCTATATCTCTGTCTCTCTCTCTGTCTCTTTCCCTCTCCCTTTCTTTTTTTCTGTCTCTCTCTCTCTATCTCTTCCTTCCTCTGTTCTAAATATTTCCTATTTAAATAAATACCTTATATTACCCTCTTGCAATCAATGTATCTGGGTTTTTCCCTTTTCTTCCTCTCCTCTTTTTCCTTCTTCATACCCTAATATCTTCTCCCCTCCCCCTCTATTCCTCTCTCTCTCTCTCTCTCTCTCTCTCTCTCTCTCTCTCTCTCTCTCTCTCTATCTGTTTCTCTTTCTCTATGTTTCTCTTTCTTACCTCTAAAAGTGGATGAAGACTGCCCTCATGGATGCAGAGTCCCATAAACCTGAAAAAAACAAAAAGAAGGTTTGTTAATAAGACATTTTAAAATACACAGATATTTGGAAATGTTAATGTCTTGCTCTTTCTCAATTAAAGAGGCATACATGTAGGGGCATTAACCAAGTTCTTCAGCACAGATATGTTTACTCTTTAAAGTAACTTGTTATAGATAATCATAATACCCTTTTTTTCTCTCAGCAGACAGAATATCTGGATATAAAATGTTAGTTTCTTTATAGTTATGCCATCTTTCCCCTTCCGTGACAGTTACAATTCCATAAGACTTCAGTTCTCAACTCCCTTGTTGACGTACAGACATAAAAATATGGATCAATTCAATACTCTATCTAGAGCAACGCAATAGTAAAGTGCACACGAGGGTCTCTTTATTGACTTACACCGGGATCAGAAACCCTTCTGGCGTTCTCATGAAGATAGAATTTTGATGAAAGTGGCAGATCAGAGCAATTTTTCATCACTAAGAGATCTGTTTATATTGTTGCTTCTACTTTGAGCCTTACACGATGTAGGCCGGCAGCGACCATGTGCGTCACATTAGGCCTGTCTTCATCAGCTCGAGATTGCAAAATAGCCCGCTATTTCTGATTTGGGAAATAATCCCGAAGTTACAAATTGCGTGTTCATCAGCTCGAGACTTGACCTCGAAACTTGAAACTCGTGCTTGAGATATTAGCTCGAGATATTTTGCTCAGCGTTCACGCATAGACGCACCGGAAAAATAGCGGAATAGTTTGCCAAATAGCTGAATATTTTGCAAACTAGCCCAAGATATCTTGGGATGATTATCTCGACCAAATATCCCGCTAATTACAGCTTCAGGCTGATGAAGACGCAAATTAACTGGATAATTTGCGATCGGGATAGCTCAAATGGCAGGATATTCGGCAATCTCGAGCTGATGAAAACCGGCCTATTGTAATTTACCTGCTTCTATCCTCATCTACAAATGAATGACCAGTTGATGAAACATTCTTTCCGCACCAGGATGTTTTTTTTATAGAGATAACATGAAGGGTAAGAGGAATGACAGAGCTTTATATTTCAAAGCAATTGCATTAAAGGTAATAAACAGATATTTTGTTTTTTGTTTTTTTATTTTTTTTATCAAAGATAAGGTAATCACCTATGTTCGTTCAGAATCTACAAGAAAATTGCATTAGTTTGTGTATTCTGGATTATCAATGCCCAGTACTTTCCTATCATCCCAATAATAAACAATACTTAAAAGGTTATTTACATCCAGAAATACATAATTGGTGAAATAAAAAGGGCGATGGATAGCAAGAGAAACACTCTCAATTAATGTTATTTAAAAAAAAGGATAATCTGTTAATCTTTTTTAACATGTACATGTAGATGCAATAGATACATGTAACAAAACTACTACTGCAGATACACTGTAAGAATCATAGATGAAGTTTGATGTGTAAGTTTTCCTGATAAATATTGAAAATGAAACCATGAAAGAGAGTAATATTCCAGGAGCCCATATTTTCACCAGAAACAAATTGCTAATAAGAGAATCCCTGCATCAATATTCATCCAAGATTTTCAGAATTAATAAAGTTTTTATTTTGCATGGCTTTCTTTTCCCCGTATTTCATATTTATCTGGGTTTTTTTTTATTTCCCCGGGTTTTTTTTATTTCCCCTCCCACTCCCCTAACCTTCCGGCACACTTTCAATAATTAGTTTATTCTCATTTTATATATGATCTTCTTGTACATGACATGTATATCCAAATACACTCGAGCACACTTCTCATTAATTACCACCCACATTTTTTTCTCTTGGAAATATGATCAAATATTTTTTCATAAATAATATTCTATGAATGTGTGAGAGAGAGCACTTAAGCCTGGCTCACGCCTCATTTCATAATTCAATCATGATCAAACGTTCTTTTCCGCCTTTCATTTCTCTTTTAGACGTCATCACATGACAGGAAGTGAGCAAGGCCATCCTAATTACGAAGATATCATAATCAATCATTTATGATGATCCAAGAAGGACGGAAGGATGTACATATCGCATGAGATGGATTATTAACATACATACATGTAGGCCTTCATCATTGTTTAAATGTTTATCGATGTGAGAAAAAATTAAGATTAAAAACGTGATCACAAAGAGTTAAAAAATGAAACCAGGACACTTTCAGTAGCCTTGTTTGTCACCTATTAAAATGTGATAACTGTATCACAAGGAAAAATTAAATCTCATATCATCTCTATGCTATGCCCCCCCCCCCCCCCTCTGTCTCTCTGTCTCTCCCTCCCTACATGTATTTCTCTCTCTCTCTCTCTCTCTCTCTCTCTCTCTCTCTCTCTCTCTCTCTCTCTTCCTCCCTCCCTCATCCTCTGTCTCTCTCTCTCTCTCTCTCTTCTCTCCCCCCCCCCCATTTCCTGCTCTCCTTATTGGTTTGTATAAGTGTCACAAAGCCTCAAAAAGCAATAAAAATTCAATTTTGAAAGGGCAGATACACAAGGAACTCATTTCAAGATTCAATTTGAAACAAGTACGTTGTTATTGCTAAAGCAAACTGTTCGTAAATTCAAGATTCAATCTAAATCAAGTACCGGTAATTTGTTAGATTGAATGCTACTTCAAGGTAAATGTAGCAATTATTGAATTTCATGGAAATGCTTTAAAATGATATGGAATAGGCAGCACTGGTCAAGGTCATAGTTAATGTAAATTTCTATAAGAGGCTTCAGAACCTTTTATCATTCATTCCAAGATTACTTTGTATAAAATCAAGATAATGAAACTGTTATGGAAGAATCGGTTTCAGATGGCAAAGAGGGGTAAGATCTACATGTACATGTATAGGGCATTTCAAAATGTCCATCATCCTTTCCTGACTAGTATGTACACAAAAACTGTACAGTCCTAATACTAGATTTCCGTCCACTGCCAGATTCTCTGGAGAAGAGATTCCAATAAATAAGATCCTGATGTAACATCATGATTAACAAGGAGATAGTGCTACACACCTTAGGGTCTCTTGAAATTGGTTTCACTCTAGCTTCTGCCCAGTCCACATTCACAGCTAGGTAATTCATTACAAATTCACTCTAGAGTCCATGTAATATTACCCACACACAGTGTATGTACTCCCTGAGATCACCCCCATGACAACTACCCAGAAGACAACCTACCCTCATACACACACACTCACACACCACTATACACACATCTTTTAAAATTACCCCTCCCCCCCCCCCCTTCACCGGACAACTACTCCCTACAACAATTACATACCAGTACCTGCCAACAATTGAAAATAAGAAAAAATGTACCCTTAGCGGGGTTTGGGGGCGTACACCTCACTGGGGTCAAGGGCAGCGCACCTGCAGGGGTATAGGGGACACCACCCCCTGAAGCTGAAGTGTTATGGGCAAAACAAAATTAAATGATGGGCTCTGGTTAAGGATAGTTATTAGTACATTTTTGTACAAGTAAAATCTGGCTTGGAAAATAAATGGTCATTCAGAATTTTGAAAAATCAGAATCTGAATATTCAAATTAAAGGTAAAGACCAGTTATGGTCATGCGATTGCATTGTGAAAGAAACGTTGTGGAATCGATCAGAAAAGGTTGATCATCTAGCATCTAGCATCTGCAAGGTTCTGGAATCATCAAAATGATAAGAAATTTGGCCCATTCTTCGTAAAGTTACAAGCACTATACACAGAAAGATGTATATGGGACTACCCTATATCTCTCACAGACCATGAGAGAAACAAATTTACCAAATATATGAATTAGTAGGCGGTTTCCCGGCAAATTTTTTATCATCATGTATTAGTCAAAACATATTCTTTCACATGATTGGTAATGAGAGCTTCCATTTCATTTTTTGAAATTGGGGCGTTTCCAATACTGGTCTTTACCTTTAAATCAGAACAGTTGGCAGGGATGCAATTACCCTTACAACAAATATGATATTGAGATGACAACAAATGTATGGTTACTGTATACATGTACATGTATGTACCACCAGGTATATACATTAACTACAAAGAGACTGTGTATGTAGTTATTGAAATGGAGAGGGGTGGATCGAGGGGCACATACATTTGTACATACAATTAGTTGTCTGGGGATACTTATTCAGGCCAAGAGGGGTCATCGTCATCATTAGGAGGGGGGGGGGGGTAATCCTCGAAGCCTGGGACTTGACAGGGGCTAGCTACCTGCCCTAGACACATTCTAGGCCTACATGAAAAGATAGATGTACAGTACATGCAGTTTGCAATCTCTTCAACACAAATCATGAAGAATGTAATGAAAGCTGGCAGGGTGGCATATGCACGCTAAATTTTGTGATGATGTTCCTAGATATATTCAGCATAGGAAAAGAGGTACAGCAAGGCTCCAGGGTTTCTGAATGCCTGGTGTGTTTAAGTTAGCGCTCGAGTACGTCTCTAAAGCAACTTTAAGGTCCCCAGATTCTACCTGTTCTTGCTTTTTAACATACAGTACACATAATATATCCATGTGAACAGGGCAACGCTTTCAATGGTTAATCTAATTAAATCTGAACTCTACTTTGAGCCTTGAGGGAGTGTAGAGAAACATGACTCTTACCTTGGGTTGGGCAATTTAAATCACGATTCTAGGTTGTTTGAACCTTAGGGCAACGAGTAGCAATCGTGGGCCAGAAGGAACAAAATACTGGATGAGGGATTTAGTTCATTAAAACCTGTAATTACACCAGGTTGTTACATTATAAACTCTCATTCAAAAGCTGAATGGAAAACCAACTTTCAGGAAAAGGTACAAGAGCTATATAGATGGTGTGCTTTCTTTTCAACCACTTTAACAGTCAAAATAAAAACATGGATACAGAATGGGTTCTAAAACTAGCAATTAATCATTTCATACATGGTATGTATTCCTTTGTTTATGCTTTTGTTCTTTTTTTTTTTTACTGATATATATATATATATCTGTATATTGTACCAATTTGTATTATTCA